CAGGGTTGAAAAGCTGGCATTCAGGTGAATCTCCACATAAGCTTGCTGCAGAATCTTTCAGAATTCTCATCTTTTCTTTCAGTTTATACTGTTCTGTTATTCTTTCTTGTGTAACCTTTCCTTTCAGTAGGTCACTGCTGTTCTGTTCTGACTTATTAATTCTTTGCTGTTCCTTTTCTGACCTCTCTAGAGCCTAGAAGAGGAGATAACATCAATTTTGTTTAGTGAAAAGGGCCTTTCTGATAGCATGAGAACCACCTTCACTTCAGCCACCACTTGGACAGCAGAGGGCACTGTTGTGAACTATAATGCACCTTCTGAAAAGCTTTCTTCCTCGCCCTTCTCACAGTTGCCTGAGGTGCATTTTACTTTGTTTCCCTTGTTATTAAAAGCCACATATGAAAGTGATTTTTTATTTTTTTGAATATTCAGGAGCATTGCCCTCTAGTACTTTTACTGGTAAAATTAACCTTTCCTAGGAAAAACATTCAAGAAATAGTGACTGAATTTAGACATGAGGAAAAGATACAGATTGTATGTTTCTCTGGCTTCTTTACCCCCTTCACCCCCAAAAAGCTGCTTAAATTCAGAGAATCATTTAAACCGTTAAGACCTAGAGTCTGAATTATTAAGCAGAGGAAAATCCCCAACCAAGTAGAAATTTAAGTATACTTTGCAGAATTTATTTTCAAAGCCCAAATGTCTTTTTAGGCATCTTTTGATGGCTTGTGATTTTTAAAATCCTGTTTATGTGGAAAATTTGAGGTGCCTCCCATAGTCAATGAAGTAGTTCTTTTTTAATGACCCTAAGGAGATTCCCTGAACTTTGGCAGGCACCATCCAGCCCTTTGAAGTTAAGTAATAATAGTAATTCACTAACCTATAATAATAATATTGAAATATCTGCTTTAGAAATGTTCTGATCACTAGACATCTTTATTTGTAGAGAAATTTATAAGGAGTTATAATTAAATATTACCTATTTCTCAAAATAGATTCAGAGTTTTTCAGTTTAATATCTGAAACCTGTGGGTTTTCAATAAAACTAGAAGGCTGGCTCTCTTGTTCTATCAGTGACAAGACTTACATGGTATCAATTTGGAGCGATTAAACATGCTCTCACCATGCATTTAAGAATAACAGCAGAGATCAAAGAGTGTGTGAGTATTTGTTGATAGGTACTGCAGAGAAGTGTGCCAGTTTAGGACCCATTAACTCATGACTGTCCATGTCACTGGTGCAGATAATCATGAGATCCTGCTGTCTATAGTAAGAAAGCTTGCTATAGGAAACAGCTCCAGTCCAGTTAGTGTCTTGGCACCTTCACAACAAGCTTCCCTCTGCCCAGACGGTTCAGAGGTGCAGTGCCCCCCCTTCATTTGGCATGGAGATACCTTCTTGAATAACTAGGGCTACTGTCTCTAGCAGATTTATTTTAGGTTAGATCACAGGCTGTAGTGCCATTTGAATGTCAAAAAGTTGGCTTTATTTTAAAAAGTAAAGTAGCCTTTTAAAAGTAGTAATGTAAAATGGCCTTTTGAAAGAAAATTAAAAAAAAATTAAAAGAACATTTAAAACTTTTCCATGAGAAAGTTTCTACCCTAGTTAATAATACCATAACATATAGTAATTTATATTAGTAACGTATATAGAAGTATTTGCTGAACATTTAGGTAATCTACTACTCAACTAGAGTAAATTGATTTACTCCCAAGAAGCAAATGTCTGCAGGAGGTAGGAAAGGACATCTCAAAAAATAAACTTGATTCATTTCTGATTTCAAAGATGCTACTGGAGAGCTAAATTCTAAAGAAAACACTTGGAGTCATCATTTGACATCCACCTGAATGTTATAGTATCCCTGTTACTTATCTGTAATACAATTTGTGATGTTAATAATCATTTGTGAAATGAACATTATAATGTTAATAGCTGTCTAAGGCCAATTATTATTTTGCCAATTAAATCTGTTTTTTAAACGAGCCAGCAAAAAATAAAGGTGTCATCTCCTTAATGCTATATTCATTTAGGAATCAAAGTTTTAGGCTAGGGTTTATAGTCTGATTAAAACTAAAGCTTTTGTTGTGAATAGGTTTTAAAGTTTTAGAACTATTCTTTAAGGTGATCAGTAAGCTTTGGTATATATATATATATATATATATATATATATTTTAATTTTTCCAACTACATAAGTAGTGTTTATAGGTATAACTGTAGCAAAAGCTTTTTAGTTCTTTGGGAGGATGCTGGCTGTTTTTGTGTTTTTGTTTCTTTTTGTAAGCTTCTTGGTGTTTGTCTTGACTGTCCTTTATTAGACCTTGAGCAGAGGTCTTTGTAGATGTTGATTCTTGCTGTTCTGTCTTTGCAGTGTGTGATATTTGTTTTGGTGGGTGTTGAGGTAAAACTTTATTGATTTTGTGTCCTCGGTTGCTTTTTGTTCTGCAGAAACGTGCTCCCGAGTCAGAAGGGCCTTGCACTGACGCCAGTGATGCTGTTAAGGTTCTCCCCTTTTTCCATGTTAACACACCATTGCCTGACGTTTCTGACCCCTCACGATTTCCCTGCTTCCCTTTCAGTCAGCCATCATAACCATCTTTGTTTTCCTCCATGACATGAACCTACCATCAGTTAGTTTTGGTTTCCATCATTTTTATTTATTCATATATTTTTGTTTTCCCTCATCCATTTTTTTTTTGTACAGAGTTCACATGAGACTCTGAATGTAGTGGAGGAGAAGAAGCAGGCAGAGGTTGGGAAAGACGAAAAAGTAATCACAGAAGAAATGAACGGTAAAGAGATATCACCTGGGAGTGGACCTGGGGAGATTCGTAAAGTGGAGCCACTGGCACAAAAAGACTCCACCTCCCTGTCTTCTGAGAGCAGCAGCAGCAGCAGTGAGAGTGAAGAAGAAGAGGTGGGAGAGTACCGCCCCTACCACCGTGTGACCGAGGGCACCATAAGGGAGGAGCAGGAGGAGTATGAAGAAGAGACAGAGGAAGAGCCCGGCCGAGCAGCCAAGGTAGTAGAGAGGGAGGAAGCAGTGCCAGAAGCCAGCCCAGTCAAACAAGCAGGTGCCAATATAATCACAATAGAAACAGTGATCCAAGAAAATGTAGTTGCCCAAAAGGTATCTGGAGAGAAGAGTGTAAACGAAGGTGCTGTTAATAAGCAAGACACGAGAGAAGAAGCAGAGGAAGAGCAACATAAAGTTAACGGAGAGGTGTCTCATGTTGACATTGATGTTTTGCCACAAATTATTTGTTGTTCAGAGGTAAATGGGAGTCCCAAATGGGAGCTAAACTATAATAGAGCTATTTCTCAGGTGGAAAACGCCTGCCTTTCTTCTCTTGTCCTCACAATTTCTCCTTCAGCTTTTTCAACAAGATTCTGAGTCTTTTCTTTAATGGGAGGAAAGGGGAAAGCACTGCTTTGTAGATTTTCTGCCAGCTCAGTTCATGGTTTCTAGCTTCTTTACTGCAAGTGGATCACCTGGTAGGGTAAACTTTCTGACGGCAACCATGTCATTTTTTCCTTTCCATTTCACATTTAAATTTTTATTTGCATGTTTTGAACATCTCCAGCTCGTTTGTTCTTAGTTGCACTACTTCCTGACACTACATTCCTTTTTCATTGGTTTACTTAGAAAATTGTATACGTAATATTTAAAAAATGCTCAATGTGAGTGTGTGTCCTGTTGTGATTGGGTTTGACCTTTTGGCTCATTCTATCACACTTCAACTTAAGCTTTTTAGAAGTAGCAGGCTTTGATTACTCTGATGCTCTGATCGCAGCATCTGGCAGTGATGAGAACATTACTTATTGAGTGCTACTGTGATTTCTGTTTTTTAGATGCTAGGGACTTTATGATTTGGTGAAGAGTCTTCTCTTTCCTTCAAGGCAGCAGGAGGCTAGACTATTGAATAGGAGAACCATGTCTCTCCTCATTCTGTCCTATCATCAATTCTAGATTATCTGCAAGTGAATGATATGTTTTATGGCTTATCTATATTAAATATAAGTCTTTTCCTTTCCGCTTCAAAAAAGAGAACTTTCCATACCCCTCTTAGATTAAGTTTTGGTCATTAGATGCAGTGCCCCGACTTGGGAGTTAAAGTTATATTGAGGGAGGGTCTACTTTCATGGGTATGTTTCTTGATTCTAAAATTAAATGCCCACAATATAGTGATTATTCATAGTTGCTGTTTTTGATGGGGTAGAAAATTGCAAAGTGACTTTGTCGTGAAAGAATTTAATGGATTTTTACTATGTTGCATTCAAACTTTCCATTTCACTTCAGAGAAGACATTTCAAGAATCCGTGACTACTTTGAACTATTATTTTTCTGCTGCTAATACATGGTTGTTCCTCTTTAAATAATTACACCTGTTGGGAATTTTCTTTCTAGTACACCATTATTTTGGAAATAGTATAGTCTGGTGGTGTAGTTAAACATATATGCTCAGCAGACTACAGTGTTAACAGGCCCTCAAACTTCCCCTTTAATGTTTTAAACTGTTCAAAGCATTGCATTGTTGATGGAATAATTTCATACATAACCTTTTATGTAATATACAAGAAAAACTGCAAGTTTTAGACAACTGTAATTGAATGCAGTCATACTTGAAGTTGTTTTTTCTGAAAATGGTATCTCCATTGTCAGTGAGGCAGAAAAGGCTTTCTGGGGAAAAGAGGAAATCTTAGCCTCCCTAGCTGGTGGGCAAAAGAAAGGAAATGAGTCTTCACACAGGCCATGTGGTTCTTTAAACTGCAATGAAAGTAGAGACAACTCACTTCACACAGTTCATTCTGTTTTGTTTTCTTTTCAATTCTATCATTACTTGCCCAAAGCTAACGTATATGTCACTGTACACCAGGTGCGACAATTAACTAGTTTGGGCCAATCATAATTTGAAGTGTGTCATGATTTAGGCATTATGTTAGCTTATCTTTCTCATTCATGTACATACATACACACACACACACACACACACACACACACACACGATATTTGAAGGAAGGTTTTTCTTTGATGTCTTTTGTTTGTTTTAGGTTATTTGCTTTTATTCTTTTCTTTTGTGCATGAGAGTGTGTTTGGATATGTTTCTTACGATTATTTTGAAGGCTCCGTTAAGCACTTTTACTTCATTGCCTCTAGAATTTATTTTTCCCTTCCTTTTTCACCTCAGCCACCAGTGGTAAAAACAGAGATGGTAACAATTTCTGATGCCTCACAAAGGACAGAAATCTCCACCAAGGAAGTCCCCATTGTCCAAACTGAGACCAAAACCATCACATATGAGTCTCCGCAGGTACAAAAGCTCTAGACTTGGACTATTTGAGTTCTTTTTTAGTTAATTTGTCTCTTTTTGTTTTCGTTCTGTCTTTTCCTAGTTCACACGTTTCTGACTTTGACTTTTTTAATACCTCCATTTTATAACCATAGTTCAACAACAATAAAACTAGCTGTGTGGCTCTCTTAGATTGAGTCAGCTGCAATCAAATTGGTGACCCGGTAATTATAGGGGGTGAGCATGCATATGATTATGTAGGATGAGTAGTATCAATCTTGTTCATTTCTGGCTTGGTACATCCAGGAATGTTTTTGTCCACTTGGGAAATGGATTATCTTGCAAAGTTTATTGGATCTGCTATAATTAGTGGATCAGTAGGATATATAGGCTTTTTCCCCCCTTTCTAACTCCATGAAGACAGACCTAATGAGCTCACATATACTTGTGGGTATACACACATATGTGCTTCTCTTTTTCAAATGGGATTATTTTCTAAAGATTTACATAGTTGTTCTTTATGTAAACTATCAGATTTGTGTGTTTGAGTTTAGGTCTTCAGACATTTATTCTAAAGATTTGAAATAAAGCATTAAGATGTCTAACCTTAAGGGCAACAAAAAAGGGGAGACTATTATCCTTTTAAAATGGGACTGTTTAAAAATGTGTACAGTAACGATTTTCTCCACTGAGTAGTTTAGAATTCTGTAGTAGGATTGTACCATGGTGGAGGAGGGCAGATTATTGTCTTCTTGAAATATTTTTTGAAAATGTTTAATGTGTATATGTATAAAACATTTCTCAAAATTATTTTGGGTATGTTGTCCATATGAGTGCATAAGTCCTACAAGAGCACAAATAGATTTCTTATGAACACGTATCAGGAGAGAACATGCACATGTTCGTCGACGTTGCGGTAAGTGCCCTCATAATGAGATACAGGTGTGTGAGCTAAGTGTGTACTTTCCTCTCAGCTTTTATTCAGAAAGACTCTAGACCTTTAAGTTTTCAGGTTATTTCCATGTGTCAGTGAGTACCAGGAAACAGGAGGCAAATAAGTTTGGATTTTAATAATATAAACTGAGTTAGGCTATCAGTTTGCTTCTTGATTTCCCTTGGTAGTCTCTAGAACTTTCTGCCTTTTCTAGTACCAAAGCAAACAAGTAAAAATCTATTTTGATATATGCATGGGATTTACATATGGTATGTATAGAGTATGTGCGTGCATACATACTGAAATATATGCACCTATGTTGTTGTTGTTATTAGTTGCCATTGAGTTAATTCCGATTCATGGTGTGACCCTGTGTGTGCAGAGTAGAACTGCTCCATAGGATTTTCAAGGCTATGACCTTTTAGAAGCAGATTGCCAGGCCTATCTTTCAAGGTGCCTCTGGGTAGGTTCAAACCACCAACCTTTCAGCTAGTAGCTCAACACTTAACTATTTGCGCCACCCAGGGACTCCATGTGTACCCATATATACATTCTAGATATCCCAACACAAAAATTATTATAGGAACAATGTAGTTTTTTAAAATTTCTACTAGAGGTAAGCAAACAACGAAATCACTCAAGTTCCTTCTACCTATTCAGGTCCTATTGCCTCGTAATCTGAGAAAACGTTTCTCTATTTTTGCCCACCTGTGCTTAAAAACCAGTAACAACAAGCCACTCAGTGCTTCTGGTCACTGTGGAAACTTCTCTGCCTGGTTCTCTAGTTTCTTTTTCTGGCTTCTGCAGAATGGACCGCAGGTCACATTCTCTGATGGTTCCCTTGTAGTTTTGACCCACCGTCTCCTTCCGTTCTTCCTTTTTTCTCTCCACCCACAGGATTTGCTTCTACACATGCATCCAGCCTTTTGCCTTTGTTCTGTTTTAATTGCCAGCCAGTCTCTTGTAAATTACCACCATAAACATGTATAGGATATGCAGATAGCATCTTCTGCCAACTGCATAGATTTTTAAAGATGCATATTCACTGGGGAAGGGTCTTCTTGGACAGCATAATGGAAGTTAAGCATTATTTGTATTTTCCCCCCAATTATCCAAAGGTTGATGGCGGGGCTGGTGGTGATTCGGGCACATTACTGACCGCACAAACCATCACATCTGAGTCCGTGTCGACAACAACCACCACACACATAACCAAGGTAAAGCAATCCAGGGGATCCTATGGAGATGATGGTGCTTCGTAAACAGGATCCTTTTCTGAATTGTTTCTTTGTTCCTGTACATACTTCAAAGTAATACACAGTGCCGGTGGAGTAAAAATGCCTTGATTTCAAGTACTCAACAAATTAGGCTCCACTGACAAATGGTATTTAAACCAAAGTGCAATTTTGTAAAGTATAGGGGGGTAAAAATATATTATGAATAGCTATACTTAAGACAGCCACAGGAGTAGAGTTTAATAAAAGTGGAAGCACAGATTTGTTAAGTACAAATGAGCCCTTCTGACTGAAGCAATTAAATGAAGACCCATCGTTCACAATTTTTAACAGGTGTCTCAAATAGTGTAAATTTTCTCTCATTTATTTAAGATACTAGTGTATTGATTTTGGGCAATTTTCCGGATCATTCTCTGAATGTCTAGTACCTTATACTAGTGATTCTCAAAGTGTGGTTGGTCCCTGGACCAGCAGCATCAGCCCCACCTGGGGACTTGTTGGAAGTGTATATGCTGCAGCCCTACTCCAGACCTACTGATAACCCTGGAAGTGGTTTCAGAAACCCTCCAGGTGATTTTGATGTGTACTAAAGTCATCAAATTTCTCACTCCACCATTACTTTCCAATATCTCCTTTTTCTTCTACTTTTCATATTTGGTTAGTGCTTAAAGGTCATAAATATATCCTTTATTCCCTCCTCCACCACCCTGTGTTTAAATAAAAAACCAAGCAAGATAAAACAAAAAAAAAACTTTGTAAATTACAAAATGCCACATCAATGCAATGTAGTTTTGGTACTCATTTAACAATGTATGTAGTTATTAAAGCTGGTGATAAGCCTTGTTTTTTGCAGTAAAGTGCCATGGCTTGTGGTTTCGTGTGTAAATTTACCAGAGTTATAGAGGTTGGATGTGTGCTTTCTCAGGACTTTGTGATATCTGCTCGTTGTCTGCTTAGAATGTCGTAGCCTTATGATCTCTTAAGCTTAATACAGTGTGTATCGCAGGCTAAATCAGTTTGCAACAAGCCAGTAACTCTGGAGACAATAGACCCAGAAGCTCCTTCCCCACAACCCTTCTTCACACAGCCACAGAGCCTGTGTTTAGCCATGCTGCATTTCCACAGTCACAACCACACGCAGAAGATTTAATCCAACACTCAACAAGAAGCTCAATATCTATGTAATCCGTCTTCCCTATCTTATTGCACTAAATCAAATGAACAAAATCACCAAATGAATTTGTATGACCAGAATCAAGCAGTCAAAACATAACATCAGTTTTCCGAACCCAAAACAGATACATAAATTGCTAGAATTCCTTGGAACTACACAAGTAGCGAGTAGTTATATCCTCTTTTCCATTTCATTTTCAAAACCTACCAATTGGGAATCAAGAAATTCAGAAAATTGCAACAGAAGTCCCAGTGGTACTGTTTGGATTAGATAGTATCTGTCCCACCATCTTAATCTCACCTGAATTTTGATAAGTTAGTTTTAGTTTTAGGGTTGCTTTCAATTGATTTATAAAGGCTACCATTTTAAGAATAGAATTCTCCTGAGAGCTTAAAAATAAAGCACAGAAAGTTGATGGAATATCAGTCTTCTCCCGTTCAGGTTGCCTTGCCTTACAATGATCGGCAGTTCTAGATGTGCTCTATCTTTTCTCTAATTTTGCATGCTTTGATGATTGTTGTTTTTTCTTCTTTATGACCTTTAGACTGTAAAAGGTGGAATATCTGAAACAAGAATTGAGAAACGTATTGTGATCACAGGAGATGCAGATATTGATCATGACCAGGTAAAGAGCTTACGTTTCAGTTTTGAAAGTGATCATGTTTATTTTCTAAGTTTTGCACTTCTCATCATGTCACATGCCTGTGTAAAACTCCTTCTCCCAGTACTTCTTGGGTGAATTCCAACTCCTAAGCACGTTATGAAGACACTTCGCAGTCTGGACACTACCTGTCCTTCCAGCCTTCTTAAAAATGATCAGCATAAAACCTAGATTGCTGTTTATTTTCCACTGGCTTTACACGCACGTTTTGGTCAAAGTAATCTAGACAATTCTTGGCAATCATTAGATATTCATCTGGGTCTGGTTTAAAACGCAAATCATCACATTTTTAAAATTAAATGACAGCTCAACGATACAGCCTTCAAAAAAACAAAAAGTTACTAGGCTTGACTTATGCCCACTTTTAAGAACTTTTCAAGTATGTTTGATAACATTAAAAAATTGGGCTATTTACCACCATGTGTTTTTCTTGAACTGTTATGTGGGACTAATTTAAGGTCTTTTACGAAGTCAAAAATTGTAGTTTATTCAGAAAAAAAAATTAAAAGAGTCATTACTTTTATTCTGATGTTAGCTTTGGCAAAATGCTTGGTTTAAAGCAGGCAATAGATGGAACTACTGGAGGAAGACCTTTAGGGCAGCTTTAATTTCAGGCTGCAGTCCCAAGTGATGATGAGAATTTTGTGTTTTTCTTTCTGAGTGATTTTAATTGGCCAGCTTTAAAGGAGGTCAAGCAGTTTCCCTTTTACAGCAGCCTTAAGAAAAGGAAAAGAAATGTTTAACTGACCATCTCAGCTGGGCAATAGGAACACATGATAATTAACCCAGCTTTGAACACAATACTGAGCTCAGCGAAGAGAATTTTAGTGAACAAAGTTTTTTGTTTGATGAAGCCTCCCTGTATGTGACCAGAGAGAAATGGATTTTTCCACATGCCTAAAAAAATTATCTCTAGGTTTTTTTAACTTCTGTAAACATGCTTTTACTTTTCTATCATATTTTATAATATTCGTTTCTTTGTTTAATTCCTTGAGAGTTATTAGAGGTTAAAGGGTTAAAGGGTTGCCCTGACTCTTCTTCTTGACTTACGGGTAGAGTTTCCTAGTAGATGACTAGTACATTTGCCTGGTTACCCCTGGAAATGAATTACTTTCCTGAAAACCAACTTTCTAATTTCCTATATAGAGAATTTATCCCACTGCTGTCCACTGGGACAGTCTTGAGGTCCCCTGATGGAACTATTTAAAATTAAATGAGGGAAATCACTTCTGTGTCAACTAACTGATACTGATCATGTGGTGACTTTAATATCACTGACACCTTTTTCAGTTTCTTGCCTACTTTAAAAGCAATCTTGATAGTGCAAAGAAACCTTCATCTGAATGAGATAGGAAAAAAGCAACTCCTTTGTGTTAGCAAATTAAAGAGGTGTTCTTTTATAGGAATGCGCTTTATAGGTTTTTCATCCTGTGCAAATCATGACTCACCTTCATACCAGGGGACTATAATCTGTCCTGCAGTTGCTGTTTGGTGCGTATTTTCTTCTAATAAAATAACTTCTTAGTTTGGGATTATGATATAGTTTTTTCACAGTCCTTATTGTTGCCATAATAAATTCACATTTTACAGTATTTAGTTTCATGTGCTGATAATTATGGAATGAAGGAGCTATAGGAAACTGATTTCAAATGTGTTTGAAGGTGATCATAGCAGTTTTTGTTTTTTCCTACTTTCTGCTAACTGAAGCGTGTTTTACATGTGTTATCTTCCATTCGGTATCACTTACATTTCCTGTTTAACAGTCACCCGGTTTAATGTAGGCAGATCTTTATAGTATTTGATGATTTGCCCGTAACTACGTTTGGCTCCCCTCACAGCTCATCACTGATGTTTTCCAATTTGGGTCCCACAAGCCAACATGGAGTAAATAGTTTTGATTTTTTACCTCCTTCATCCCCTCTGACCATTTCAGAAAGAAAGAACCACACTCGTCCTGTGCTCCTTCTCTCTCATCCCCGTTCCCATCCCTTTCCCCCTATCAATACACTGAGAAACTCTTCTGACCGTCCATGAAGCAAGATATCTGCTCTTATTCCCATTCCGGTCTTGCTCTCTGGCCTCCCAGTTTCCCCACTTGACCAACAGTTGTGCTATGGCTCAGATTTAAAGCTGGGTCTGCATCTGATGTTTCTTTTGTCCTGATGCAAGTGGGTCACCAGAATTTGTTCTTTAGTGGAGATTTAAGCACCCTCAAGTTTCTTCCAAGCTTTTGTGTGAAAAATGTTTAATGTAAAAAAGATTTCTCTTTTTATAACTTTACCTTTTTTTTTTGGGGGGGGGTGAGTTTTAGGGTTTTGCTGAGTAGAGTTATAGCAGACAGAAACTATGATGCAAACAAGAAGTGCAGTTGTCCCCTCAGGCAGGTGACAGAGCAAAAGAAAAAATGGTACTGCTTTTTTCAAATGCATAATTTCCTTATGAGATATGGTGCTCTCTATGCTAATAGAATTTCTTTTTAAGAATTCTTTACTGAACTTTGAATGTTGTTCTCTGGTATTTTTGTTTCCTATTTACTTTCTCCCAAAGACCTCTTCAAAAAAAAAAGAACAACAGTTAACAAAAATATCTTTTCCTCTGAAAAATCAGGTCTTTTGTTTGTGTTATTCCTTTCTGCTTTGCCATAACACTGTGTCTGCTTTTTCACACCTGGTCAGCATCTAGGTCCTCTCCCACCCCTGCCACTCACTGGCTGAATGGCCATGACAAAGACCCATTAACTTGGCACTTTCACTTTTTTCAACTGTGAAATAGGGACCTGTACTTTACAACCTGAAGATTAGTTTTTCTCTCTTCTATAGCTCTACTGACTATGTGTCATTGTTGCTGCTGCTGTTTTACTTGTTCTACATCCTAGAAGTTATAGACACTTTTCCTGCAACATTTTAGTTCAACAAACATTTTAGTTCAAGCAATTACTGAGAGCCTAAGATAGTGGAGATAAGCAAGGCCTGGTTCTGTGCCGTGGGGCATCAGGTACTTAGGTAATAGCTAGTGTCACTTGAGTGATAGGCCAGGCACTATGCAGGATGAAAACCCGTTGCTCTTGAGTCGATTCTGACTCATAGTGATCTTATAGGGCAGAGCAGAACTGCCCCATAGAGTTTCCAGGGAGGGGCTGGTGGATTCTAACTGCTGACCTTTTGGTTAGCAGCCCGTAACACTTAACCACTACGCCACTAGGGTTTCCTCAGTCCCTACAGCAAACCTTAAAATGATCTTTACAACCTTAACATTAGTCTCAGCTTACAGATGCGAATACTAAGGCTCAAAGAAGAACGGTTTTCTCCAATTCTCACAGTTAGTGGCAAGGCTGGAATTCCAAGCCAGCATGTTTCTTCTACATGTATCATTATTTGAAACTGTCGGAGAAATGGGAAGTTTGGAAAAGTGAGAAACGTTCTCTAAAATGAACAATGAGCCCATTTCAAAACATTCTTCCTGCTTCCTCAAAGAAATGAACCTGTTTTGGCTTGAGGTTGCATCTCAGTTTATCAGCATGCATTTAATTTGCCATCCTGAGGTGGAGCCTGTCCCTCAGCTCACAGCTGCTTTCTCTCCTGACCCTGGTAGGCATTGGCCCAGGCGATCAAGGAAGCCAGAGAGCAGCACCCTGACATGTCCGTCACAAGAGTGGTGGTGCACAAAGAAACAGAGCTGGCAGAAGAAGGGGAAGAGTAGTAAGGTAAGAGAGCCAACACTTCCCTTGGTCTTTGCCCTGGCTGTTCTGCACTCCTGAACAGGCAGAGAGGTGGGAAACACTTTTTATATCATACTGTCTCAGCTTCCTGTAGTACATTTGATTTTTCAGACTGTTGTTATCCCTGAGTGCATCTTCTTAGGTTACTTGTATATAATTATAAAACCTGTGAACTTTGGTGTTAATAATTACCATTTATAGAGGGGCTGGTAATAATTGACATTTATATGTTACTTTACTATTTACAAAGCGCATTAATTAAATTATCTTAATTAATGTTCACAATAACCTTTTGAGGAAGGTGCTGTTACCGGGAATTAAATGAGGGATTTTTATTATATTAGGGACAAGGAGAAGATGAGTTAAATCCTTTAAATATAGATATTAAAAATTGTGTGTCATGGGATGAATCATAAAGGGTATATATAGGACGTATATTTATATATATGTGTGTGTATATATATATGTATAAATTTAAGAGTAAAAACAAAAATAAAGGATAAATGACAAAGTTTAATATGCCTGGGAGAGAAAGGATTAATATCCTGAATATATTAAATATTCTTATGTATCATTAAAAAAAATGAGCACTTAAGTAGAAAAATGAGCAGAAGATTAAGCAAGAAAGCCATGTAGAAACTAAGAGAACAATAAACAAATGTCCAGGCTCACTATTGCTTAAATAAAATATAAATTAAAAACACAGAGTACTACTTTTAACCCATAAATTTGGCAAAGTTTATGTTTTTAACTAGTGTTGGGGAGGTTGTGGAAAAAATATGCTCATACACTGCTATATAAATTATTAATATTTCCTGGAAGACAATGTGACAAAATAAATCTTAAAAAAGAAAACCTACCTTAAATATGCCTACCATTTGAATCACTTCTAAGAATTTATCTTAAATAAGCGGAGTTATATACAAAGATTTATCTACATGGATACTTATCACATATTTACATATAAAACAAAAATGCTGAAAAATCTAACTGGCCAACAATAGGGTATTGGTTATACCTTATGCTGCCCCCATGTGATGACCAAATAGCCAAAGAAAGTTGTGCTAAAGAATCCGTAATTACATGAGTAAATGTTCACAGTTCTCTATTAGGTTTTTGAAAAGCAGGTTTATCACACAGCACATATACTAAGACTACTTTTTTGTTTTTAAATAATCTGTACGTTGACCCAGGAATGGCTTGGTCATGAGGATACACATCTTCTACCTTACACGGCCACGCCAAGTGGTCTTCCATCCTCAGCAAATGAGGGTTCCTGCCATTTCACATTCTTTCTTACAGCTTTAATTTTTGCCAATTTGGTGGACATGAAATGATATAAGCTGTGATTTTAATTTGCATTCTCATGATTAATAATGAGATTTAGTATCTTTTGATACGGTTATTGGCCATTTGTGTTTTCTCTTAAAACATTTCTCTGAAATGTTTGTTCAACTCTCTTGTCTGCTTTTGTTTGTTCATTCCTTTGTTCGTTCTTATCAATTCTTGAAATATTCTGGTTACTGATTATTTGTCATTTTTATGTGTTCCAAAATCTTAGGATTTGTGGTTTGTCTTTATCCTTTCTTTAAATGATTTGGCTTATTAAATTGATTGAACTATTAATATACTTGAATTTACCAACCCTTTCTTTTATGTCTTGTGCTCTTTCTATACCATGAGATATTTAAGATATTTTTCATCTAGAAATTTTAACGTTTACTATAAATAGTTTATATATTCTTAATCCATCTGAAATTGCTATAGCTGTATGATGTGAGACAGTGATCCATTTGTTTCCTATGTCAGTAGCTGTTACAGCATTATTTTATAGATGAATCCATCCTTCCCCTCTCTAATCTGCAATGTCATTTATCAAATTACTTATATATGTGGGTATATTTCTGGTCACTCTATTTCCATTGGTCCATGTGTCTATCCCTGCTCTAATGCTATACTGTTTGAATTACTATGCTATCTGATAGGACTCCCCCCCCCCAATCATATTCTTTTTCTTCTGTAATGTCTTGGTTATTCTTGACTCTGTTCCATGTAAATTTCAGAATAAGATTTTTAAGTTTTAGGTTAAACCCTGTGGGATTTTGATTGGAATCGTATTCACTCTATAGCTTAATATGGGCAGATTTATGTCCATAAACGTAAATGTCTCCATATATATAGGTTTTCTTTAATGTCTTTCAATAAAGTTATATAATTTTTCCCCTAAAGAGATCTTATAAATCTATTATTGGAGTCATTACATTTATACCTTATATTTTTTGTTGCTATTTAAATGACTTTTTTTAAATTGAATTTTATGAAGGTGATTGTTTTTAAAAGCCCTTCTGGTCCCAAGACTATGGCCACAGGGATACCAGGGTTCCCAAGAATAATATGGAGGTTGCCAAGGACTTGTTTAAAAATGTTTTCA